CCCCCCCCCAAAGAAAAACACGGGAGACAACGACCGATTTTCTGGAAGTGGGAAAACATCTACTTGTCCTTCTGCAGCACTGCCCGCAGGGATGTCCATCAAACTCCGACCCCATGAACTCGGCAACAACGAGGTGCTCCCCCTATCTAATGGCGAGGTAGGAGTCAACCCCCCGCGCAACATTAGATGAGGAATAGTGGTGCCGTAGCCCCGCCACCCTCCCTTTGCTCCACACCACACACTCTTGGCAACTCAGCAAAGTCCCGTGCAGCTACATCACCGCTGTAAGTAGTTGATTGATCACATCATAACGATGGAAACACCAAACGAAAACGTCGAACGTGTAGACCGCATTTCCCTAGCGTGTCCTACATACTCCACCTTTCCCGCCGATCTGTTTCCTTTTTTGAAGGTGCACCACCCCCACCCCATTCGCACGCTTCAGCTTTTACATCGCTGACGCGGGCACGACACGTGCTTATTTTTTTTTAAACGGTCCATACCCACCACGTGCGTGTGTGTCCCGAAACCCAGTTCCAGCAAAACGCCAATAAAAAAACAATCCGTCGTCGCGAATATATATGTCAGTTCGCTTTGTGGTTCCGACGTTCGTTTGTTTGTAGACTCTGACTGACACCGTGATGACGGGTCTTCAACAGAAACCCTCCAAGACGCACTCCTCTGCCGGCACCATCGGCGAACACCTGTGTTTCATTGCGACGACAACGCACGTACGTACGTGCGTACGCATACCACGTGCGGACGAGCGCATACAAGAGCAGGACGAGCCGAAAGAGCTGCTATTGACTGGTGATGGCGGCGGTAGGCGGGGGTGCGTGCACTTGTGAGGGTGAAATGTTGCACTTTTGGGGCAGAAAAACGTCTGGTCCTGTTATGGTAATCTTGCGGCGAAATAGGACTCGGCCGACAAGTTTACGTAGAGGTAGGTGTGTACCCCAACCCAAAAACCGCAAGATGAGGTGAATTTCCACTACTGTATCATCACCACTCTGATGTGAGTTTCGCAGCGCAGTTTGTTCGTCGACAGAGTGAGGTCGAGATCGTCATCGTGCTGGATGCAGCAGTCCCGAGTGAGGTGCAGCAAGCGTCTCGCTTGCTTACTTACACAGAGAACCTTACAGAAACAGGCTCGATTTCTCTTCCTACCTGCTTCGGCAAACGCCTTTGGCGACCCCTCGAGTAACGTCGTCGGAAAAAAGAAGCTGCGCCGCTGTTTCCGCGAGGTAGGTCTAGTTTAGCGCGAACGAGAGGACACACAACACACAACAAAACGAAGTGCAAGACAATCAAAAACATTCCGCCAATACATTCACGGGACCCAGTTGCGGTGGGGGGGGGAGGCGAATGAGCGTAGGGCAAGGGATTTCTTCTTTGGAAAGTGTTACAACTCGGTCGTGGGATACTCGTGAGCGTCTGTTAGCGGGGTTCCGGTATATATAACGATCCTCCTGTTGTGCCCCCGTGTTCAGAATTCGACGTCCCCTTGATTTGCGGGGGAAAGAGGATCGATGAAGGATCGTTCTCGCGGTATAAAGCTGTAGGCGGGCTGAGGAACTTCACCAAACCAATAGTAGATGACGGTCATTTCGCGCATAGTCGTCTCGCCAATGATGGCATACACACGTCGACACCCCCGCACTCCTCCCTGCCGTGATTCACATATTACACAACCATTCATGCAACCCCAGCAGCACACACCTCGTTTCCCGTTCCTAAGGAGGGCGGTGTCAGCCCGTCTGCTCTAGGCACAACCCACGACTCCCTTGGGTCTTGCTGTTGTTTGTCCGTACGATCCGGAGGTTCCAGAGGAGAAGTTTCAACACAGAGAGAGAGCGAACGCGCAAACGTTGGCCGATAGATCGATTTGTGTTTTTCATCCATCCCATTCATTTTGGTTGTTGTTCGTCGGTTTGGACACGTTTCGGAACAATTTTACATCCTATACACATCCTCCTCGCACACGGCTGGCTCAAGGTTTTTTCATCACGCCCAACACCAACAGTATTTAACACTCGGCCCTCCTCCCCTCCTCACCCTGATCATCAAGCCCCGGTTGGCCCATGTCGTGGTCGCGTACTCCCAGGTCTTCCCGCACTGGCACGTCTGAGTGAACGCGGCGTAGGGGACGTTATCCCATACTTCTCGCTTGGGGATCCTCTCGAAGAATACCGTCTCGCCTACAGGCAAGGCCTTTCGTGCGACAACGCGAGGGGCGGAGGGGGGCGGGGGGTCCGGAGGGGGGGGGCGTACTCTTATGTTTTGCATGCCTTAGCGGTTAGACCATTGACCACGCGTCCTCGAGAGGACGGAGCATTGTTCCCACAGGACCGATCACCGATGGCCAATCGTTCCTTCCTACTTTGCCAAAGGTGGCTCAAAAAGGTCTTCCCTACTCTGCCTATCCTAACGATATCCGTTCCCGCCTTTTTTACCCACCTCCTATGCCCCAGTACAGCTACCGTCCTTTCCTCTCTATTCCATGCCTCAAACATCTCCCTGTACGTTCCATCTATTTTTCCCAGCTCAGTCACGTACACTTCCCTCTCCTTCTTGTACAACGGACATTCCGCGACTACATGAACACGGTCTTCGCATTCGAAGCCGCAATCACATTTGAACTCGTCGTCTTCCTCGTCTACCGTCCTATGTCTTCGTCGACGTTCTCGAAGGCCTATGTCCCCGGTCCTGAATTTGACCATCCTGCATCCATTGGTCCATGTAGGTAATCCTTGAACCCTATGCCTTCCT